TTGAAAAATAAATGTCCTCTTTTATTTTCAGCATAATCTATCTGCCTGTTTCAATCCATAGGTTGCATCTTGATTAATACAGTGGCTCAGGCTGAGAGCAAGATAAGGTTATCTCTTCAATAGTGCCTTTAGAAAAACTACATTCAGTATTCTTCAGAGTGCTCTGTATTTCCTAACATGTGCTGATCAGATGCATATAAGGAAAAAAGAATTATGAAATTAAGGCTTGGTTCTCATTTACATTAAAGCTGCCTTCATTTCTCTTCTCTAGCAAACGAAAAAGTGTTCTGGATTAAAGGAAGAAGGACAGAAAGGGAAGGAAAGAGCATACACATGTAGGAAACAAGTTGAAGAGTTTTTGTTTCGAAAGGTTGAAGTGAAATGTTTTGGTATTTTCAAAATTCCCCCACCCCTTTTTTTACCCAAATTCAACCAAATGTTGCAAATAGTTTTAGCACCTCCACAGCAGCATGTTTTGGGAAATTTCCCATTCATCAAAAATATTTCATCCAGCTCTATATGTACATTCATACAAAGAGAAAAATTGGGGTTGTGTCTAACTAGTGCTGGTCTAATTTAACTGATTTAGTTAAATATGTGCAAAGCCACTCTTGTTCTGGTTTAAATGCCACTCCAGCTTCTTCCAAGTCAACATCAGCTGACCTGAAATCAGCCTAGTTTTAAGCAAAAGCAAAGCATCCACTCTTGCACCAATTTAACTAATTCATTTTTAAATAATACCTGTGGTTAAACAGGTGTAATTCTTCCAAGGTTCACAGATTTAAAGGCAACAAGCAAGATTTAAGCTTCTTAGTACATGGGATCCTGAGGCATCTTTTCCATTAAACAGGTGGAAAATAGCACCAGACTAGAATAGGGAGCCTCTGGCACTGATTTTGTATTGTCAAACCTGACTCTACAAGGTGTAGAGCAACTGAGAACCCAACCCACAGGGCCCAATTCAATTGAAATCAGTGATAAAATTCCCTCCTAGTTCAATGGGATTGGCCCAGAGTATTTTTTGCTACCAAGCATCTATCTGCACTTAGTATTTCACTGCAGCTCTAGGCTTTCCTTTCCCTGTTTCCCCCCCCACCCCGTTCTCTTTTAAGCAGAGTGAATGAGGTAGGTTAACCACAAAGCACCATGCAACAAAGACCCCTTCAGTTTTGCAGAGTGTGGTCCCCCACTGTGCCCTTGGTGTATAGGTGAGTGAAGCTAGGCACGTTGCCCGGCCTGCATTCCTTCCACCCCAGATGGAGACTCAAGGTACCGCTCCAAGGTTTCTATTCCGGGAAATAGAAGCACCTTTGTTCACTAGCCCCTCTGGCACGGCCTCTCCCACCTCACACTCTCCTCACATCCTGCCCCCTGGCCCCACCTCTTAAGAGCAAACTATCCAGTTGAGGTTTTCTGATGGCTAACACTCAGCTGTTCTTTCAGTTAGCAATCCAGTAACTCTCCAGGGAATGTCACAGCCCCCTCCTGCCCCCCACCCCACCCCAGCAACCCCTCGCACAAATAATAAATGCTCCTTCTGGGGAAAGGGCTAGGAAGCATGCTAGAGATCTAAGGGACGTTCCTGGCTTAAGAGCTTCACTGACGTTACCAAGGGCCAGATCCTGCTGCCACTAAATCAATGGCAACACTCTCATTGACTTCCATAGACACTGGATCAGGCCCCAAGGAAAAAGCAGAACCAGATACAGGAAAAAGAAAAACAGAAGGGACTGATAAGTACTAGCAGGTATCTAATTATTTTTCACAGGCTGCAGGCAAGCTGGTTAGAGGGGAAAGCACTGAGACAGGCAGCACCTTGAGGATGAGACCAGGTCTCCTCAGAGCTGAACGCATGGGTCTTTGTAAGTGGAGTAAAGAGCCAGTCTTTGCAGGTGGGCACTGTAACAGGACCATGGCCTCTGTGAACTGGGCCCATAGCGAGGAGGGGGTAGCATACAATGCACTGAGCAGTGGAGACCAGGATTCAGCTCTGAGTGCATATTTAACCCAATATTACCCTTAGTTCTGCTCTTGGCTGAGCACTTTGTCTAATGGTTATTGCAATCCAAAGGGAGGCTGCAAACCCTGCTGAGGGTGTTCTTAGCATGGCCAGCCCACTTGCTGCTTCTCTCCCTCTAAACTATGCTGTGACCAGGCTGTACTATGGCATAGTAAGGGGTGAAGCTGGTGAGTGGCAGTCAGAGGAAGGGAGCCCAGCCTTAACACTAGCATAAGGTATTCAACCCCAAATTCCCTAACTTTCTAGCACTGCTTTTAAAGGAAACTTGTTCAGTCTTTTCTTGAATGCAAGCGATTTTTGGGCTCATAGTGGCCTGCACACTTTCTTCATGAGGGTCCTTTGCCAGCCTGCACCTGGGAGGAGCATGAAGTGTCTCCCATTCTGTGTTGGCCAGTGCCTAGCACACCAGGGCCACCAGTCTTGGTTAGCCTTAAGCAGTAGTTCCACAGAAATATTTGGGCCCTGAACACATTATGAAGTCCCCCCTTCCTTACTTGCTGCCTGTCAGGATCTCAGGGTGGGCTCACAGCCAGCAGCTGCCTTAGCTGGGAGTAATGAGGCAAGAACTGGATGACCCACATCACTACCTGGGGGACCAGGGGATTGACTCTTGGGACCTGCTTCTGGATATTCAGGGCCTCACTTGGAAGTAAGATTCAGGCTGGCTGACAAGCTCCTCCTGGCCTCCCAGATCGTATTACTCCTGATGCTCGGCCATTTCACTAGTCCCTGACCCTAGTCCCACCCTTCACCTTGCTTCCTGGATCTGGCCTCCAAAAAGCCCATCTTGTGTTGTTAGAGGTGGCTCTGGCTTTGGCTCACCTTCTGGGCCCAGCCTTTGTGTCATTCCTGGCCCCAGACCTTGTCCCTAATTGGTAGGCTTAGGCCTTTGGCCTCTCCCAAAGTTCACAAACCTCTTTCTGGCTATTAATTTTAGGATCACCGCTATTTTTAGTTACATTGATGCTTTTTAAGTAAGAATAACAGCCTGTTTTGTGGTTTTATGTAAAACTTGTTAGTGACTTATTTACAAAATGATATCTCACCTCCCATGGAATGCTCTAGCCTGGGACAAAATTCCCAGCCCCCTCCCAGGTTGCCAACCTGATGATGATGATGATGAGAAAACTTTTTAGGGTGAAATACAGTAGCATAGCTGTGTTCATTTACACAGGGAGATGGAGAAGCAGAGAGAAGACTGCTTTTTGTCTGTGACTTACAGTGGTAGTAAAGAATCCTTTTTATTTGCATTACAAGTTAGTCTCATCTCCTCTGTACCAGTATCCATGGTGTCTTTCTTAACAACACTGCTGTCTAGGATTTAGGACCTGATCCCAGCTCCTACCAGCCTGTCCAAATACTGACCTCCTGAACTGACTCACAGGTCAGGGATCACACAGACCAGCGTGAGCTGGTGTGTCTGTGGCAACTCTGCTGAGATTCACTGCGGAGGTGGGGGTGGTCTGACCTAAAAGAAAAAGTGTGTAGAGGGTGCAGGAATGTGGTTATAGCTCCAGTACAGGGCCTGAAGATGCCTGCTCTCTTCTCATGAGAACAAGTAGTTCTGAGTTAGTCCCATTTATAGGTTTGGGGCTGGGGTGGCATGGGCATTAAGGGGTATGGCTAACAATCCAGAGATTGCAAGTTTGAGGCCATAGCAAAACCGTTCATGACACAGCCCTGTCAGATTCCAACAAATCTATGAATTCTGCTAAATATCTTGTCACTTGGATGTAAAACAGGAAAGGATTTATATGTTTGTCCAGATAATGTATGTGCATCCTTCAGCAAGATGTTGTATCGTTAGAAACAATTTACAGCAACAGGCATTGCCTGTATTTGTTACAGGAATTGTGCATCCATAATCTGGCAATTTTGTTGGACAAAAGGGAGAGGAGAAGGTGAGATATGCAAGCAAAAGAAATGGGTGGACTAGATGGTAAAGTTACAGTGGGTACTGCTGTTGTAGAAGGGAGCACCCAGGAGCTGTGCATAGTTTCATAACAGCAGTAGCTCCCACATAATAACTTTGTATCTATGAGGCACCCCATGTGAATGAGCTTGGCAGAGAGATAGGCACCACAGCACAACCACTAAGACTGAGTGAGCAGGTAAGCTGGAAGTGGGCTGGCTGGCTCCTGATTCTCCAAGTTATACCACTGCAGTACTTGAGGCATTGAGTGATCTAAGAGGTACATGGCAGCTGAAGGGCAAGGCCGTCAAGCAGAGCCATACCAGATCTGAACCCTCTGCTCCTATAGGGACAGAACTGGAGTAGTAGCCGCTCAGGTGTATGAGGGGCAGCTTGGGTCTCTGGCAAGAATGTGGAGAGTGACCATGATCATGGAGACTGTCTGACCTGGGTTTGGAGGGAGGCTCCTAGTGTGAGGACACAAAGGCTGGTGAGGGGCTTTCTCATAGAGAACTTGAGAGCACTGTGTTGCTAACAATGGTGACATTAACTCTGAGGCTAAGGCAGTCTGTGTTTCTAGCCCATACCTTGAGGTACCTGAGGAGAAGTCAAGCCCCAGGACAGTGTCACAGCTGGATAAGCAGAATCCTCCCTCTGGTTATTGTATTAGCCTGGAAAGTGTTTTCTTTCTCTGCCCGCCTGCCTTGTGTGGTGAAGATGCTGGAAGCATGGCACTCCTAGCCGATCCATGTTGCTTTATACCTCATTTATCCTTTCTCCATCTACCCACCTCCACCAACTCCTCTTTCTCTGGATACTAATACCAAAGACTAAAGGCTCCTTGTACAAACATAAGCAAGCAGATGCCATGGAAACAAATACAACCAAGAGTCAAAAACAGCTGTGTTTGAATGACACCTGATGCAAAGGGTCATGGTGGCAATGGGCAAGGGGCACTGGGCCACTCATCGTAAGAACATAAGAAATGCTATGGACTGGGTCAGGCCAGAGGTCCATCTTGCACAGTCAGTCTCCTGTGTTGCACTATGGCAGAGAGCGGACACCAAAAGGGAGAGTGAACCGGGGATAACCAGGGTCATATCCACTGCTTTTCTCTCCCTTGCTCCCCCGGCATTGAAAGTTCTCCTTCAGAGGCTGTATCCCTAACTCCTGTGCTCAATAGCTACTGATGCCCCTTTCCTCCGATAATTCAACCAAGCCCTTTTTGAATCTGGCTAAGCAGTCAGATTTCACAGCATCTGGTGGCAGGGAGGTCCATACTTGAATGACATGCCATATGAAAAAGAATTTCCTTTTGTGCATTTTCAACTTCCTACCTACTCGTTTCCAAAAGGAAAGCGCTAGCCATCTACAAGAAATCTCCCAGTACTGTACCACAACCCAGCAAAATCTTGCTGAACTGGCTATGGAGGGGTTTAACTCCCCCCTTCCTGTCCTAATGGCAAGGACCCAAGCTGGGGCCTGCCAGGCACTCCCCACTTGCTGCTGCAGCAGCGGGGCTGGACACAGCCAAATGCTGGTCAGCATGGCCCCCTGAGGTAGAGGGGGCAGGGAGAAGGGCTATTCCCCGCTTCGCCCCCTTTGCCCTTGGGAGACAGCACCCAGGATCTGCCTGCCCCAGCTGCCACCACCACCACTTGCTCCCTGCTTGGGGCAAGCAGTGGATTAACCCCCCTCCTGCTCCCTCCACTAGACACAGAAAGGAAGGGACGCCAGAGGGAGAGGGGCAGGAGGGGGCTTATTCCACCACTTGCCCTGGGCACAGAGCAAGCACTGGCAGTGGCAGTTGGGGCAGGTAGCCCCCACTGCAGTCCCCAAGGGCAGAGAGGGAATAACCCTGCTCCCTGCCCTCGCCTAAGGGGCCCTGCCAGCCAGCCTCTGGCCCTGCCCCAGACTGGCTGCTGAAGTGGTGAGAGGGGAGTGACCATGATGGGAACAGCAGCCCCTGTCATGGTTTCCCAAAGTGCAAACCCCTTCCCAGTGGGGAAATGCCCACCCTGCAGCATGGCCCCCCACCGGAAAGAGGCTTGCGCTCCCCAGACACTGTGACAGGGGCTGCTGCCCCCTTCAACAGCCCTGCCCCCTCGTCTGGGCAGGGGTGCAGCCGGATGCCGACTGGCAGGGCCCCTTAGGCAGGGGGCAGGGAGGGGAGAATTAAACCCCTTCATTGCCAGTTCAGCACAAGCTACTGCCGCCAGCAGAGAAATGCAGGTTGGTGCTGGTGGAACAGGGGAGGAAGAGGGGAACAAACTTCTAGAGCAGAAAGCGCAGCCCAGAGAATATGCTGGGATGCTGGGGGACTCTGGTTTAACTTAAACCAGGAAGAATCTTGATTGTCAGACTGAATTGACTAACAGAATTGGAAAAGCAGCTAAGAATTTCAAGCTATTACAGAAACGTGTGTGGAATAACAACAAACTATCAGCTAAGCCGAAGATGTGAATCAAAGACATAGATGTGTGCTTTATGCATCCCTGCTTTATGGTTCAGAAATGTGAACTACATATGCTAGGCAGATCAGGAGACTGACAGCTTCCACATAAGGTGCCTGCACAAGATCCTGAAAATAAAGTGGGAAGACAAAATGCCAAACACAGAGGTGCTGGGGCATACATGACTGACACGCTTAGAAGCCACTACCAAGAAGAGGAGGTTGTGATAGCTTGGCCATGGCAGGAGAAAGGGAGATTGTATCCTCAAGAATATTTTGTACGGTAAGATTTGAGATGGCTCTAGAAAGTGGGGTCGTCCTTTATGGCAGTACTATGATGTGTGCAAAAATGATATGAAGTCATTCAGCATCAGTGTAGAAAGCTGGGAGGAGTGCGTAGAATCTCATCCCATCTGGAGGCAACATCTCGCCCTGGGTGCAGCTCAACATGAAAGGCTTGATCCAGAGGATGGAGGCAAGGTGAGAAAGAAGGAAGCAGCAGCAAACTTGGACTCCAGCTCAGGTAACACATGGATTTGTCGAACTTGTAACAAGCTGTGGTGTTCTGGAATTGGGCTTGTCAGCCACAAAGGGATTCATCAGGCACCTGACTAGGCCTCTTACCTGTACACCAAGATGCAAAGGATCGGGGTTGCCATTATTATACCCACTCGTTTCACGTTGTGGCCCCTGGTCCTTGTCAGACGGTAACTAACTAGTGAATCCCTCCCGAGACCCTTCCCACCCAGGTCCCCCCTCAAGCGTCTCCTCCTGTCCGCGCGGCCCCTGCAGGCCGGTGGGCGCCGGGCAACGCCGGGGGAGCTGCGGGCTGAGGCGGCTCCCGGCCTTGCCCTCCCCCGCGCCAGTGGCGTCCCGGAGTCTCCAAGACACTCGCCGCGTCCTCCGGTCGCCATGGCAACGCCGGGTCCGCGTTCTGTCTCCGCGGCAACCCTGGTCCCGCGGCGTCCTTGTTTCCGCAGCAACCGCGGCCGGG